TTACGAGATACAGAAATTGCAAGGAATAAAAGAATGAGGAAACAATTCACTAATTTTTCTGTTATGAATATGCGACAAAGAAAAACACAATTCTTCACATTAACTTCCAAATCACTTATAAAATACCAAAAAAAAACTGCTCCAGATCTGCAAATCCATCATTTACCATCAATCGAGCAGAAAGAGAAGCACAAAATATTAAACAACTTTTTTTTTTAAATTCTCCGTTATTAAATTATTTTTTCTATTTTTAAGTCCGAATATGACATTTTTTTTCTCTTTTCCATCAAAAGATCAGCAAATCATTAAATATCATTCTTTAAAAAATTTTCATGAAATTAAAATTTTACTTGTATATCCATTATAACAGTAATTTTGAGAGACGGACTAATCAAGAAAACATTTTATAATTGAATTTCCTTGAAAATTAAAAAAAAAAAAAAAATCTTATTTTTGGTTGAACTTCAAAATCATTAAAGGATTTCATCATCAGTTTATATACAATTCCCATTATACAATATTTATACATAATATTATACACATTTCTAATATACGCACACATACATATATCGGTATTATGATTTGTGTATTAAAATACATAATTTAATTACCGAATTATATATTTGTTATACACACACATATACACAAAAAAAAATCATTACAAATATTAAGGATAATAGAATTTTATAATTTTCCCTTCTAAATTATAATACATATAAAAGTAATATACATAATACATATATATACATATATGTGTATATAAAGCAGTATTTATAATTAAAAAGCGAGTTAATTTATATATCAACAATTCAATTCAAATCTGAGCCACTACATTTTACATTTCATCATTATAGAAGAACAAAACACATGTAAAAAAAAGGATAAAATAAGGAGAGTTATTGTATATAGAAGGAAATTTTTTTTTGATTTTCAAAATATAACCAATATACTCGTATACTTTATAAAAAGGCAAGTTCCTTTCCTTATTTCTACGCAATATAGAAATAGTTTACTATCACATATAAATTTTCAAATATTCTTATGTATTTGTGTATAGTTAGATTCTTTTTAATATGAAAACCTTTTAAGGATAATATCATGTAGATGGAAGTATATAAAAAAAAATTTTATACATATATTTAGTGTATTTCAAAAAAAAAAATTACAAAAAAAAATTTGCTTGTCTGATGCTTGTCTACACGACGTATTGCCCCAGATTTTAATCTCATTACTGCTGAAATAAAAGAATTGCCGAGAAAACTATTGACTTCTAAGTCGTGGGTCTAAATATCAAGCAATTACAAACTTTCCAGAATAAGGTACTTCTCAATATGCTCGCTAATATGTACGCGATAGTTTAAATTCATAGAGATTCAGGGATTTGGATGTCCCCGAAGTAACTAAAGAAATAAGGAACTGTGCTATGAAAGGAGTTGTCCTCTCGAATTTAACAAAACTAATAGTTAGTTCGTTTGACTAGTTTTAGGAAGTTATGACCAGATTAGGTGTGTTTTAGGTCTATTTAAAGTTCCCAACTATTGATAGACCTGACGACGTTTTGAATCCTTCTATCTCTATCTGTCAATGATTTTTAACAGCTGTATAGGAAAAACAATTAAAAAAATGAAAATTTTCTTTTATGTAAATGTGCTTACTTACCAAATATTAGTTCGACGTGAGTTCATAAATTTCTTTTAATAATTAAAAAAAAAATCCAAACATACCATCATGCATGGAAATTAAGATTTTCAAATGTTTATTATCATTATAATTTGATCTCATCATATTGTTAATATTCTTAGGGTAATTTCAATTTTTTTTGTTTTTGGTTTCAAAAAGTACGAAGGGAAATTCTTTCCTATATACATAAAATCCTCTTCTACAATAAATACAAACAAACATTTTATAATAAATATTCTACAATTATTATTATTTTTATTGTTATTGAAGATCGTGTTGTATATGAGAGCAAGTCCTTGATACTGTAATTATAACATTGCGGTCCTTTTATAATATAAATAAATCCATATTAAAATAATCCATATACATATACATACATACACTCATTATGGACTTATGATTTTAACATATGTATATGTGAACATGGAATTATGAAAGGAGGAAGCAACATATAATTTTGGAAAAGTAGAATAAGAAAAAAAAAAAATTTCATAAAGTATAACAGTTAAAGTTAATTGTCAAACACAAAACAAGTTTTTCTTTTTTAGTTAACAAAAATTTTTAAGGATTTATTGGGTTATGTTGTAGCCCATTCCTATTGTGTTATAAAAATGGGTTGATATAATGAGGTGTTTTGTTAGCATGATCGTTAGCATAATGGTAGTTTTTTTCCCTGGGGTGGTGATTGTGAATAGTGTAGTGATGAGACAACTTATTTAATTTTCAAGGTGGTTCTATATTATAGTAATTTTTATTATTAATAAATTTATAATGAATAAAAATTAAAAAAAAAGGAGTTGAATTAAAAGAGGAATAATAATTTTCTATAACAAGAAGAGGGAAAATATTGGGTTTTATTTAATTTGAACGTATGTACATAAAGGCAAAATACAATTGTAATAAAATTAATAAGGAATATATAAAATATGAAAATGTTACAAATGATACAAGAGTATATGTTTAGTTATTAATAAATTTTTGAAAAGAATTTAAAAAAAAATTTGATGTCACTTCAACTTCTCTGAACGTCTTAAAAATGCAACCAACATCTCACTTTTCGCGCATATATCTCTTCCTCGTTTATATTCTTATTATTACACATTTCTTATTACTTTATATATATAATATACATATACACCAACCTTTTGGAATCAAACGAGGACAAGCAAGGCATCCATTCTGGATTAAAGGCATCTTCATTTTGTTCGAAATTTAGTGGATTCTTTCCACAAGCATTTCTACTGTGAATATTTCTACTCACCAACCCACTGGGAAATTATTTCTGATTGTTGACGATATTTAATAGTGTTACAGTTGTTAATAAATGCAAAATTTACATCAGCGCCGGCTCTAGCGGTACTAGAACCCCGATGCAAGTTTCTATTTAGCGCCCTTTATCAAAAAATATATCAAAAAAATCAAATGCAAATTAAACAGTATATTGATTATTGTATAATATTTAATATTAAACATTTATTTGTAACTGATATCAATTACACATAAAATCAATTGCACGATAGTGAGCTTAAAAATTTATTTCTCTTGCTTTTATCGCAGCAAATTCATCCAAAATATTATTAATTTTTAGTTCATCGCAGATATCGCTTTCAATAGCAATCATTGATAACCCAACTAATCTCTCTTGAGAAATATTTGATCGCAAATATGTCTTAATTAATTTAAGTTTAGAAAATGACCTTTCGCCACTTGCTACAGAAACTGGTAGAGTTAATAGTATCCGCAAACCTATTGTTAAATTTGGAAATATCCCAAATAAATCATTTGTATACATAGTTTAAAATCATAATTGTTTAGTTGCGGCGTTATGGTATCTTTAAATATAAAAAGTTCATTATATAACTCAGAAGAGTTTATGTCTATTTCTTCACCATCAGTTAATGCAGTTTGTAAATCGGTACATTTATTTTTCATTATTTCGTCACCCAAATTATAAATTTCATTAAAATTTATAAGAAAGTGAAACTTTTCGGCATGACTACTTAGAAGTTCGAATCTCTCTATTAGGGAGTTGATTGCACTGTCGACAATTGGAAGAAAGAATGAAATTTTATAGTTCTATTCCGGGTCTCTTGGTCTCTCATCACGACGTTCGTAATCAAACATACGTTTTTTACGCCGTCGTAATGGGTTTTCTTTAAATTGAGGATTAATATCTACATCTGAAAATTTTGATAATTTGAAATCTATATAAAATTGATAAAAATCACAATACTCACAAAAATGGTATTATCCAACAAATTACACTTTTTTCTTACACTTTAATGTCTAATTAAAATTAAATATTTCACAAAACAAATTATATTTTATTTAAATTAAATAAAATACTATTTTTTCTTACTGAAAATATCGCAACGAAAATGAAAAATGTCTGTATTTTATAAACCAAAAAGAAAAAAAAATTCTTTAAAGAAAAGCCTACTACGACTACATTTTTTTTTGTATATTTTTTTAATTTGAGCGAAGCAAAAATTTTTTCAAAAAAAATTTGGATTGGAAACTTGATTTAAAAAAAAAAAAATTACAAAAAACAATTAAGTGGAAAATCACTTTTCGATTTTAGCGCCCTTTCAGACCCTTTCAGAATGGCGCCCCGATGCCGTGCATCTTCTGCATCCACGGTCGAGACGGGCCTGATTTACATAATGATAATGTTACATATTTAGTCACGAAATTTAATTATATAACAAATTTAAAAATGTAATTATATACATACCAAATTTTTTATGATATAATTGAAGTGAATACACTAAATTATTTTGAATGTGACAACATGAAATTTTTAAAATCATAGCATCAGAATTTCTAAACTCATAGCAATCCAAAATATTACTCAGAATTAGCTTATTTTTTTCAGTTTAGCTGGAAAATCTGTTTAAAATTTCAGAAAATATATTTCTGACAAATATGCGTCGGGAGTGTAACGAAATTTTAAAATATTTCATCCAGCATGTTAGAATTTGGTTTTTAAAAAATTTCCCACCGTATCCGATTCGCGCAACATGCGGTAGTTAAAAATTCAGCCAGAATAACTCTCTCACTCTTAATTGTTAAAACATTTTCATAAACATCTTCCCAGCAAAATTTTTTCATGAAACCGAATTATTAAATATACCCCTAACGTAATTATGCGCTGTACACTTCAAAGTATAAAGTTGAAATGTATAAAATAATAAATGAATTCCTGTGGCTCCCAGAATATTGTGGATTATTTTTTATCACTCTGCTACTATATTTTAATCTATTAAATTTCAAAACGTATTGGTTTATAACATGTTTGTAATAAATTATTTTTTTTTAAGATACAAGTTATACATATCATCCTGGTCTACATGATGAAACATTTGTTAGAAGAAAACAGAGACGAAATAGAACAACTTTTACTCTACAACAGGTAAAACACAATTTTTATTATTATTTATATCACAAATTTAAATATTTAAAAATTATTTATTTATTATAATAATTATTAAATATTAAATATTTTTAGCTAGAAGAATTAGAAACAGCATTCGCTCAAACTCATTATCCAGATGTGTTCACTAGAGAAGATTTGGCCATGAAAATAAATTTAACTGAAGCTCGAGTTCAGGTACGTCATATAATTTAAAGTTCAATTATCAGTGATTATATACTTAATTCATTATATTAAATATAATATTAATTAAATAATAATATTAAAATTTTACTTACCTAAAATAAAAGTAAAAAAAAAATATTATTCCCACCTTCTTGTTGAACAACCACGCCTAACAACCATTTCATGGAAAATAAATAAATGAAAGTTGAAAAAAATATGAAAACTATACAAATTTAATAAGTTCATATACACACTTACGGACACAAAATATGTTATACATACTGACGAATTACGATTCTTACGAATATACTCACAATTTAAACTCATATTTTAAGAAACTGGAAATAATAAAAAAATATTGAATAAATTTCAAATAAAATGTTTAAGCAACAAAAATAATGGAAAATCTTCCAAATTGAGAGAGAAATAAACTGAAACGAATTGAGAGGGAAATTAATAAAAAAAACAAACAAAGAAGAAATTGAGTATGTTATTCTTTTTTCCTTTGAAGCAACAATGTATACAGCATAAGAGATTTGATATGTTTATATACATTAGTGTTGCTAAATAACAAAACTTATATTTAACATCAAATACAAATATGTCTTTGTGGTTAATGGTGTAAACGTGTTATTCATAAATTAAGTGTAATAAAAAAATCCTTGAGTTCAAATCCCCGTGTATCCAAAAGTTTTGAAACAATTTTTATTTATTGTACAGAGTGAAGACCAATTGAAATTTATTTCTTATGATGATTCACAGTAAACCATAGAACAAATTTTGTATGATCGTAAATGATTAAAGCTAACATTCACCGCCATCTGATAGAAATAAATTCAAAAGGTTTTTTTTAAGTTTCAAGATTTAAAATATTATTTTTTAAGTTGATTTTTTTTACTACATGCATTTATAAGGGCTCAGGCGGACATAAAATTTTTAGTTTTGCAACTTTTTGATTAGGCTTATTTATACTTCACAGGTTTATATTTAAGCGCAGGCACAAGCAACTGTGACAATAGTCCATCTCCTTAGATGTACAACAAGTTTACAATCAAACAGTTATTGCAAAATATCCATCGCATTTAAAAATTGCCTGAGTCCTAAATATTTTACGGAAAAATTAATACACGAGGACATAAATTGAATATGGTCAGCTCCACACATTTTTAAGAGAAATTTTGTTAATAATTTACAATTTTTGATATTTTTCATTTAAAAAATACTTACATATAAATTTTGTATATTATCATATACTTTATCTAGTCACAACTTATCGGAATTTGGTTCAATCAATATTTCGTATTATTTTGAATACGCTACGAATATTTTAGTATAATACAATATATTACTTTAATATGTAGCTATAGATGTGTATATAATATGGGGGGGGTATTTATATTGTGAACTGGATCATATCACGTTAAACAAAATCCCGTTATGGTCGAAGCATTTTCTACTCCATAAACCACAAATATTCTTGTTTCAAATTCGATTTTAAATGAACCTATACACCTCATTTTTAACAGTCTGCTTATATAGAAGCTATACTAAAAAAATCATTTACAAAAATGGAAGAAATTATTTAGAAATATGAAATTTAAAAAAAATCCGGAGTTGTACGTACATATTTTCGATTTACAAATAAGCTATTTCATATTATTTAAGCGGATAATTCCCGTATGTTATTTCTTACTTTAAAATTTACTCAATTTCTCTTTCTTCACATCCACCATTTCTACAATATAATTTTAATTATTTTCATATTTTTTATAATTCTTAATTTTAACCAAATTTAAATTTTCTATTCAATTTAAATTTCCACCAAAATATACCTACATTTTGTATAACAATATGCTACATTTAAAATGGAAATTATTTCCAAAAAATATTCGTGTCATATAAATTGTGAAAAAAAAAAATAATAAATCCAGTATAACAATTAACATTACAATATAATATACGTATCTGTATATGCTTACAATACATCATATAATTATATTTGTGTGGACTTACTGTAGTATATACAGTTATAAATTGTATATTATATATTATAAATTTATAAAGTGAAAATAAATAAATGCGAGATAATAATGTTTTCTGTAGATTTCATCATCATTATTATCATTTATTATCATTATTATTATTATTATATTTACAATTTCATTATTTTTTTTTCTGTTACAAAAATAAATACAAAAATATTATAATAATAATAAATGATAATTTTTATTATTGTATATCCTTAAAAATGAGAAAATAAACAAACAATGGAACAAAAAAAAATAAAAATGAAAATATTATAAAGGAAGAGAAAACATAAATTGGATATTTTATTTACATTTTACTTATTACAATTATATTGTCATTATTTTGATTATTATTATGACATTATAAATAATAATATAAGTATACGAGTATATAGGTATATGTATAATCTTATATGTATAACAAAAACTCCACCATAAGCATATTTTTTATAGGCACAATATAATTATACTTCAATACATCTACCAGTATAACATTACAAAAGGATCCATTCAAAAAAAAAAAAAAAAGTAAACAATAAAAATTTTTATTATAAAAGTTTTATTTATATTATTTTTATGTTGCTATATATTCATACTTATAAGCATATTATAAACATAATTATATATATTTATGTATATAAAAAATATTAATATTATATACAATATAATTTTTGTAATATTTTACGCCCACTCAATCACCCTATACATATTATATTACGAGTATATAGAAATAATTCATTTTCTTTAACAAGATTTTTATTCCTCATTTTCTCACATATTTATCTCTCGACTCAATTTTATACGTACTCGTATGTATATTAATAAAAGGGACTTATTTTATATACATATTACATATATAAATATGATAATTTATAAGATATTAAAAATAAGATTTTTTTTTTTTTGTTTCTTTTATACAAAATTAATAATTGTTATAATAGTAATAATGATGTGGATTAAATGTATATAATTAACGACAATGAACCTGCTGCAGCAAGAACTTAATATATTGATTATTAATAATATTGAATATTAATAAAATTGCATACATTTAACTTAATACTTACGTTCCTTTTAATATAATATGTATATAATATTTTAAATTTCTCTCTGAATGACTAAGTGTAGTTGGTAAGTAGAACGTTGTTTTCTATTAAAATTCTGTTATACAGTATATAGTCAAAACTTATTTAAAAATTGAACAATACTAATGATAAAAATTGAACTGATATCTGGTAGAAATATAACACAATACCGAAACGACTTAAAGCCAAACCAAGCAATTAACAAACTATCCGAAATAACTATGTAAAACTGCTTTTTTATGATGTATTAAAAAGTATTATATAGGTGTAATTCCTTTCGTTAGAAATATCAAATCAGTTACCGATTTAAAATATAACAAATTTAAAAAAGTATATTAATACAATTTACCTTTGATATTATTATTCACAATTCCTTTCCATTTCGAAAATAAATTTGTTTAACCGTACTCGTATAACAGTTTTAACCAAGAAATAGTTGAGAGGATTATAGTTATTTACCCTTATATGCATTTACCCTTTTTATTTTTGTATAGGAAATAATTCATATTATATTTTCTATTTAAATTTATAGGTTAATTTTTATACCATCGTATAACAGATTTTCTATAACAAACATGGTTTCATTTTTAAACTACTCAAAACTGTTTCAGGAACATTTTTCAATAGCAAAATATAAGTATTTAAAAGTAATATCAATTTATAACTCAATTTATACCAATCACTATTCATTTAAAATATTTGACTTTTCTCAGTAGAATATCGAAAATGTTGATGTTGTAACTTCAAAATTCTGTTTTTCCGGCAGGAGTCTAATTTAATTTAATAGAGAAAATAAAATTTGTTGCATATTTTTATGTATACAGTATGTACAAAAAATATATTGTCTAACAAGCATTCATTGTTTACAAATTATACGTAGAACGAAATATCTGTATAACAAAATATGTGTATAACAAAAAAAAAAAACAATTTATTATAATGGGATTTTCACAAGTTAAATTGAGTTTTTTTTTTATTTTCTTTCATTTTATTATTTTTCGTATTATTTTATTTATTTATTAATTTTTGTTTTTTACATTTTCATTTTATATATAAAAAGAATTTCATTGTTAGTTAGAACGAGACGAAAACAAAGTTTATAATGATGAAACATGAAATTATGAATTAAAAAATAAAAAAAAAAGAGGAAATTATATAAAAATTAATTGAAATGGAAAATTAATTTTGTACATTTGCATATATTTTTATATTTATATTTTTATATTCTGTATACATTTCTGTTATACTGAATATTTTATGTATAATATAGAGTAATATGTATGATATTATTAATTGTTATTTTCTCATTTTACTTTATAAAATTTTCTTTTTTGTATGAATTGAAAATAAAATAAATTTTTAAATTAAAACTATTATTTATTGTTTACCTTTTGTAATTGTTAAATAAGAAAACATTTGTAATTTATCGCTTGAAATCACTTTTTAAGAAACTTTTTTCATATTTTGATTATAACATTTTTTATTGTGTACATAAGTATATAGATGGAAATACAAAAAAAGGTGGAAATTAAAATATAAATTTTATTTATCTTATTATTTTATATACGGTTGAAATGATTTTATAAATTTTTCAATTAATAATAGGTAATCGTAATAAGAAAAGAAAATAATAATAAAAAAAAAATAATTAATAATTTTATAAAGATTTGAAAAATCTAAATTCTAAGAATTAATTGAAAGAATAACAGGAAGAGAATGAAATGCCAAATAAATTATAATTAAATATTAATTGGTTTTTAAAATAATAAACAATTTTATATAATTTATAATTCAATATGACTATATATAAGGAAAGCTTTAATTTCGGACCATATAAAGTTTCGACTCAATTACCATATATGCACAAATTAAAAATGATTGTGGATAGCGCGTGTAGATT